TAAGGTTGTCATTATTAATTAGATGATTAATTTCAGGTGAGACTACCTCCTAGCATCAATGATGACGTAGATGAGGATCCAACCGGTTCCAAAGCATTGTGGGATAGAGGCCTGTTGAACGGCGCATCCCAGAAGGCTGATGTGATTTGTAACTTCCACATTGGTGAAACCATCCTGTCCCTGCAAAAGTCCATCTTGATTCCTGGTGGATCCGAGTCGCTTGTGTACACCACTCTATCAGGAGCTATTGGAATTCTTGTGCCTTTCACATCACATGAGGTAATGATATTAAATACATTGAATATAATAAGAAGGTTAAATGTATGTACACTCTATGAATGCTAGTAAGAATTGATATTTTTTCATTTTGTCTACCATAATTTTATAAAATCATAGCAAAACTATCTGGTATAATATGCTGCAAAAACTCTCTAAAAATTATATATTATATGTAACTCTCAATAGGATACAGTTTGAAACAATTTAGATTTTTACTACAAAATACCTTAAATTGGTTACCAGCTAATTTAATGGTCTAGCCATGCGAAACCAAGCTTACTGGGACTTCTGAATTTGCATATTTAAAAATTATAGTGTTGAATATATAATGATGCAAATAAAATAAAATGAATGATTATTGCAAAGAATATAGGAACAGTGTTAAATGTACAAGTCTGTAGATTTATGGGCCTTTTTTACTGAAGAATAAGAAGGCTGAAATTCTACAGTACTTCAGGACTGTTATTGCAGGCCAGAACTCCTTGATTATAGAATTAAAGTTGTTTAAAATATAAAATGTTTTAATTTGTGTTTTTCTGACAGGATCACGACTTCTTCCAGCATCTGGAGATGCACATGAGGTCGGAGTACCCACCACTATGTGGCAGAGACCATCTATCATTTAGATCTTACTACTTTCCTATCAAAGTGAGTACTTCAGTAGCAATAACCGAAAGGTCCACTGATTAATTTTAGATAAGATAGTATAATACATACTCCGAGTATCGAAATACACGCCATCGTGTCGAGATTCAATATTTCGACATTAATTATGTCATCAGGAAGGAAAAATTATCCATAGCAATAATGTCACTTTATAGTTCTTACTACTGTACTTCCTTAAGAAAGTCAGTAACCTTTAGTAGAAATCATCTGTTTACCATTTCCTTATCAAAATGATTACCTCCGTAGGAATTCCTAACAGAGTCAGTATTAAAGTAGAGATCACCTTTAATTTAAGTATTATTACTTTTTGTTATCACAGCACATTGTCAATTGTAAACTTAAGTGTGTAAAGTTTGTCTTTGAAATTCTACCAGCTCATAATACCAACAACACTTGAAATGATGTGTATTTTTAATATTCTTCTATTTGTTGTGCTTCATTCTTTAGAGTGTCATTGATGGTGACCTTTGCGAGCAGTTCAGTTCAATGGATCCGGCGAAGCAACGAAGCGTGGCAGAAGAATTGGAACGCACACCAGCTGAGGTAGGTTTATCCTGGTTTTATGAATGCTGGTGGTTATGCTAATGAGCTTGATGAATATTGATGACTTTATTAATTGCTTGGTTCCTGTAGTCCACCTCACAAATTAAAAGAATTGATCTATACATACTATGTATTTTTGATATATAAAATTTGCCTGAATTAATAATTAATAGCTTCTTGGCAAGTAATATGTCCATGATTATTATTACTTTATGCAAATGAGATGATGCTAACCTGCTAATGTTATATTCGTTTCCATAGGTATCAAAGAAACTTGAGGATATCAGGACACGCTATGCCTTCTAGTTGCTGATCTTGTTCGAGAAAAAAGACCAAAATGGATTGTGGCTTGCTTAGCAATATGAATATTATGCTATTCGGTTTTTTTTTAATCGAAAGCAATAATTAAGTTGTAAATAATATTAACATAAATCAATGAGAATCTTGCGCTGCACAACAAGTTTTGGTTGTCAAATTGAATCCAGGTTATTGTAGTAGATGAAATGTTGTAGTAGATGAAATGTGTGGGGACTGTTTTTATTGTAATTTTGGCAGTTGTTTTGAGGCAAGGTGTGGGATGCTAGCTTAATAACAATTTTTCAGAGCAAAAAAATAAACTCAAGTGGTTAAAAATCATGTGATGCTTAGCCTAGGCCTGAAATACCACCTCATTCCTTCAGCTAGGTTGCCCTCTCCACTAACCCATGTCAATAGTTTTAGATATGCTGCCGTGGGAATTTTTTTCCACTGAACTATGTACAGTATTGTAGAGCAATTATGTTGGTAGGGATTTCTAAAAAAAAAATCAAAACAAATTACAATACACTTTTTACAATACATTAGCCATTGAATATTTCTAATTTATTGTCATTCAAAAATATGTAAAAGCTACATAAATTGGAAAAGTCTCTTTTTTTAAAAATAAAAAGTTTGAGTACTGTAATTACATTGTCTGATTAGTGAAACTGTTCTCCAACAATAATAACAGGTTATCATTTTACTGTATATCAATTTCTCGCCTACAGTTGAATACTGAAAGTGAAATATAGACAACTTAGTTTTACAAATTGATGCCTGCTGTTCTCGAGATCAACTTGTACATCAGCAAAACTAATGACTCCTAGGTTAACTGCTGTGAAGGGTAGTGCTATTAAACAAGTATCCTGTACAGGGACACAATAATATCTCAATTATTATGAACCAAGGTGAACAGTCTGTACTGCATTAACTGCTATCAACATTGAACATGCCCTGTAGTGGGGGTCACAATCCATATGAGCCTAGCCCCTCTGAGTGTGAGCACATCAAATGCTATCAACATTGTATGCACTCTGTTGAGGAGTACACAATCCATAGTCAATTTCAATATAAATTTAATTTAACCTAGCACCCCTTTGAGGTGTGCACCATCACAGCACACAAACTGCTATGTACCCAACACCACTGTTCTCAAGCTTGGTTTTGGCTTTCTATGATGATTCTCTGCTGTGGATAGCCATCTAGATCTATGTACATATAGTTATACTCCAGATTCCCATTTGAAACCTAAAAAATAATACAAATCAAGACAAGGAAGCATTTACCGAAGATGTTTATCATAAAGAAAGAAACAAGATATGCATCATGGCTGAGGCGATAACAGACTTGACAACAAGTGAATGGGAAGCAGGAAACAAGATGGCTGATGAGTGAAAGGGTACTTCAATCCAGTAAACTTATTTATTACAGTGTTAGCGTGGGTCCAGAAGGCATATTTACAGGCTGTAAGTTTCATTTTGGGGGCAACTAGATGTGCCTGTTCTTAAAATTTGCTTCAACCATGGCAAGATTAATGTGGGTGTGAAACTCTCGCCAAGGACCTTGGATCCCTTTCCGGACCCCTTGTTAGGGAGTATCTGGTATTGTCAATGAGACGATTTTCATAGTACTCGCTTTTCCAATTATGTAGACCTACCTGTTCAACTTGAAGATGTACTGTGCCTTTCCTTTTGCTGCCCTCTATATAAAATTTCATCCTCATGTATTGAGATCCATTTTTTGTGTAAATCACGTGACTGCAATAAGGATATCAAAGTTTATATTATAAGGATCATAAAAATAATACTGCAATAATGCGCTATATATCTATCTAGCAACCAATTCTGGGATGCGGAAAATTATATTTCCTGCTAACTGAATACTGTATTTACCTTACATGCTTCCGTCTTCCTCTTCTGTCCATTTCGCCATATCCTTTTATAGGCTCTCCTATGGCTTCCATAACCTACATACACATGCACACAACTTATTTAGCATTGTACTGTATAATGAAATAGATTTTAGCATAAAACCAGAACCATATAATGTATTTATCACACTTAATTATTGGCTATATTATTGGTAGGAAATAATGAAAGTATAACAAAATAATTTAAATAAAACGGAAAAAGGTGAGAGCATCTTGATTATGGGAATTAATTAACTGACCTCACCTCATAATTTTTTTTACATAATTTCAAACTTCTTGTAAAAACCGAATTTGGGCTTTTTGAATCCATCAACTCTTGGCCAACAGTATAAAACATTGCAACTGAAACAAAGCACCAAATAAAAATATGCATCATTTGCCTTATTAAAATATACACTAACTAATGTGTATATGTATAAGAAACAATATTAAAATATATTATATAATACAATTGATGGAACATATATTTTACATACTGGGACCTCTTTTTAATAATACTGTATATAGTTTATAACTTTATAATTTTAGTTTATGGTTTATTTTCTTCTCATATGTTGTTGTTGAGCACTTCAATGTTGTGACAATATAAATCCAGAATTATTATCATTATTACATAAACCAGGCCATTTAAGAATAAATATGATCCATAAATTACTATCTATTGTAAAGAAAAATAAACATTTTGCTCAAGAAATATATGGAACACAAAACTAACCTAACAAAACAGCTCCTACCACAACCACAGCTATGTATGTGACATCTTTACTTGCCTGGGCCACTATAAGTAGAAGATAATAGAAACATCAATCAACATCAATAACATCTATGTGACCTCATGTCTAATAATATATTTTTTATTTATTTATTTTTTTTTGTTTTAATATATTTGACGTCGCTCATAAAACTTTATCTATCTAATGTATGCTGTCCAAACGAAATGCTTTAAGAATGATAAGAGGTTAAAACATTATAATAAGCACAGTAGTGACGGCATCAGCAGGGGTTCAAAGGGGAGGGGGTGGGGGAGGTCTGAATCCATTCATTTTATGAATGCCATTCCCACGCATCTAGATGTCCCTATTCTTCAAATGTGCTACCAAAGGGTGGTGATGGGCGTGATGACCCCTATCATGGACTTTAAACATCTTGTTGGTTGGGGTCCTTGGAAAACTGAATTTCTATAAAAAATATCATATGTTAACCTTTCTGTCCAAGCTGAACTTGATGAGTATTTTTAGTTTTTGCTGCCACAACATCCTTCCTCTTGTTTGAAGCTGATGCCATCCACCGACACACATCTTTACCAACACATTTACTTCTTCCTAGTCCTTTGCCACCGGAGCAATTGGTAATTGAAAAGATGCATCTTATTTGGTGTCCATTAGAATGTAAAATTTGATAGCCAAGTCTTCTTGCTAAACCACTCAATTTATACATTTGCACAATTATTTGTTTTGCACTGTGATCCAAAAGTGCTCACTTCGTTGATAACATATCTAGAGCAGGCTAGTGACACAAATGAAAAAACATAATAATGTCAGTTCGAGTCAAAAGATAAGATAAACTTTGCCATCACATACTCAAAATAGCCTTGGTAAAATTATTGCTAATTAAACCTGAACCAAAATTTTGATTATTGCGGTCCCAGAAATGATGGTCTGAAGCGCCCACACCCGGGTATGGCTAGCTCTATTCTACTTGAACTACATCCATTTCATTTATGATTTAGGGGAAAACCTAAAGGTATGAGGTCTAGGCTGTCCACACTCAGCATGATAGGGAGGTATGAACATCAGCGACACGATGCAGGCTCCTTTCGTCCGTGTGCAGACTTAGCCGCCGAGGCTGGCCTAGACCACACTCGATTGCTCACACTGTCTCATGTCTGATTACCACCTCCTTGGTTTGATACATACAGAGTACAGTTCCGAAAGCCTGGCTCCCTTACTTAAAAAAACAAAGCATACCTAACCTACCTAATAACCTACCCAAAAAAACAAAAACAAAAAAACAACACACAAGCAAACCTCTTACAAACAAGAGGCCCAGGGGCGAACTTCGTATTGAGTAACGTCTCAATGTCGTAGGTCAAATATATTCTAGCAGACGCCGGAAGGTCAGTTGGAGGGTCTTCGGTGATTGAAAGTTCAGACTTTGTGGTGGCACCGCAAAAACGTAGGCCTAGCTTAGGTTGACAAGGTGTGCGAAGTCCAGCAAGCTGCATTTGATTTGGTGACATAATTTTATATAAATTAATTTTATTAAGCTTAACAATACGAAGATAAACAGATTTTTCTATTATTAGTAATTACAGTTATAGCTAGGCCTACCTAGGGTCTAGTTAGTATAGGCTAGTAGTAGTAGGCCATTTGCCTCGCTCGAGTCGGGGTTGGACACTGGAAAAGCACCACAACACAATAAATTAATAGGAAGTGGTTATTCGCACGGTAGACCGTGCGAATAAGCTCTTATTAGGAGTCTTATTCGCACGGTAGACCTAGACAATCAGCATTTGACGTTTCATGACGTCTAAAACCGTGCGAATAAGTTCTTATTCCCAATCAATTAGCATGGTACATCGTGAATTAACAATATTTAACATGGTATCGTCTCAAAAGGTTGAATGACCTAAATATTTTACGAGAAACTTACTTAATTTGTTACGAGAATACCTAATCGAACCGAAATACCTTTTCAGATATACAAACACTACCATGCAAATAGTAAATAATACATTATTCGCACGGTAGACGTAGCCAATCAGCATCGTAGAATGTACTAACACTGTCTTCAAAAAAAGCGCCAATAAAAGCTTTCTTCTTTGTTTGGCTTCTGATAGTGTTCACAATCACAAAAACAGCCATGAAAGCCTGATGATGTCAATGAAGGTCAGTCAGGCATTTAGTGACTATGTACAATTCATTTGTTGATTTCATTAAAGAAATTTCAGGACGAAAATAACCTTGTTGTAGAGTACTGTACATACAACAATCTTTCGACAATTATCACAGCTCCCTGTGGTCTCTGAGCGCTATGTGCTTTGTGTATATAATTAGGCCTACAATCAATGTATCCAGTAGCATTTCAAAAACACTCCCACACATTGGAAAAGGTCCAAAAGGCAGTGAAGAATGTACATCAATAAAGCTTATTTTCAAGTACAGTATATGGTACATATATTCGGTGGCGGATCCAGGATTTGTTATGGTAGAGAGGGATTAGGAGAGACTTTTAGAGGTGGGCTAAGTGCAGCAATTTAATATTTTTGAATGGAACAAAAATCAATGTCACTACTAGGCCCTATGGTAAGGGACTATAATACCACCAGTACATACTCCACAAAGGCTTTTTTCATGGCAATTTCTCAAGGATAGCTTAAGAAAAGAGTAAAGGTCTGCAGACACACAATGCTAAGCTAGAACCTATTGCACTTCAGTTAGGGTTATCAAATCGACTGTCTGTGCTGTGCCCAACTCATACGGTATACGGCTGTCATACCGTGTGAATAAGTTCTTATTCCTAATTTGCACGGTACTGTGCGAATAACCTCTTCCAAATTAATAATCATTCCAACCAGTAGGGCCTAGGTCCTTGATCTTCTTGATTGATAATTGATTAGCTCCAATTGGAACAACACTCAATTTGAGGTAGAGGTCGTGAGAGGAGACTTAGGGCCTAGTCCTATTAATATTATCATTAATATAATATATAAATCATTAATTAGACCTACTTTAGAATATTGTGCTACTGCATGGTTAGCACATAATAAGGAAGATGTTCAAGCTCTTGAAAAGGTTCAAAGAAGATCATTAAAATTAGCCCCCCCTTTACAAAACATATCTTATGAAGAAAGATTACGAGTAACAAAACTAAATACTTTAGAGTATAGGAGAGAGCGTGCATGCTTATTGCAGCTTTTTAGAATGATGAAAGGCTTTGACAATGTAAATCCAAATGATTATTTTGTTTTTATAAAGGACTCAATAACTAGAGGTCACAAGTTTAAGATTGCAAAACAGCATACTAAGACTATGCACAGAAAAAACTTTTTTCGTATTATATTATCGAAAAGTGGAATTCACTACCTAGTGAAATAATTAATGCCTCAACATTAAATGAATTTAAATCCAAGCTGGAAAAGTATTTTAAACCTCACTCTGCAAGACTACAAGCACCTTAATCCTCACTCTGCGAAGTGTCAAGCCCTCTGTAGTAATAGTTATAGTGAAGAAATAGTCAAATAAGTGGAAGCTTTAGAAGATACAAATCATCAAGTAAGAATCAAGTAAGAATAGATAATACAGGCTAATTCATAGTGTCCTAGACTAAACTTGAGTGGCCACGTCCTTCCCCCCTCCTTTTTCATTGCTAGTAATAGACCAGGGCTAAATAATTTTTTTTAACGCCGTCTCTAGGGATACAGAACAGTACCATATTTTAACTTCCATTTGCTAATTAAAGGTACGGTAAATAGTTGCCATTGCCCAATGAAGTTTAAAAAGTTATATAATATTTAACACTTATGAACGATTTCAGTAGAATTTGAGTCGGATATACTGTGGCTTGTCTCTAGTCATTCATTATACCTGATTATTAACATTCATATGTTTTATTTCAGATCAACATAAAAGATGTTTGAGGTACTAAAAAATGACTGTCATCATAGTTGATACAGCACAACTATTGGACTTTTTTTACAAACAAAATTTGTGAACTGAATCAAATCTGGTAAAATGGATATGATGATCTACAAAGTATTTCTAAACCTCCACCAGTCACTGCCTGAGTTGACCTTGGCTAATCTAGTTTCATGGATTGCGTCGGCAAGTATGATGTTCGGAGGAATAGTGCCTTATATCCCACAATACTTAGAAATTAGAAAGACAGATAATGCTGATGGATTCTCAACATATGTCTGCTTGGCTTTGATATTAGCAAATTTATTAAGGATTCTATTTTGGTAAGTTGAATAATTATGTCAACTATTTTAAGTATATTTTTGTATAAAGGGGACCTCTATGGAAACAATCCTTTGTATCTGCTGCTTTCCATTTTAAAATTGCTTGTTATTGTTATTGTTTTAATAATTATTAATTGGTTTAACCTGAAAGCCAAGGACATGAAAAAGGCAGGAAGCTCAATAACTGCTCATGAATAGGTTTGAAGTAGTTTTCTGCAGCAGGAACAGTTTGCCTTTGATCCTTCGCTGTGCATTTTGCTTATTTCCTTGAGCAATGCACTTTATCTGCATTGCTTCTCTCCACCCAGGAGTATAAATGGGTACCTGGTGGGGTTGCCTGCTCCTGTACTGATTACAGCAGCAACACTTAAGCATGTAGACCCAATGACCGAGGTCAAAAGAAAGGTGCTATATAAATAAATGAATAATAATAATAATTTAATAATAATAATAATAATAATAATTTAAAGTGGCATATCTCATCACATGACAAATATACACACAAATGCTTTACGTAAATTAAGTCTCATTGTGAGTCTTGGGGACTGGAATTGTTTTTTTTTTTTTTATCACATCACGTATATTAAAGATGTACTGTCCCTTGCAAAAAACAAAAAAAAATCATAAAAATCATTTTTGAAATTTACTTTCCCATTTTGAAGTAACATAAAAATTATCAACTTGAACATAGAAATTAGTGTATTTAAAAAATGCTTACTCATAAAAACCATCATTTTACAGGGAAAAAATGATAGAAACACTTTCAGTCACTGGAAGTGTTTTATTATCTTTATTATAATTATCCAGTTTAAAAATAAGGGAACACATCTTTTTAATTTAATAATTTCTATGCTCAAGTTAATAATTTATATGTTACTGCAAAATGAGTAAGTTAATTTAAAAATTATTTTTTATAATTTTGGTCATTTTCAAGGACATCTTTAAGAAAACAAATATAGGTTACTGTACTTTTTTTTTTTGAAGTGCGATTTTGTGTGGGACCTGCAAAAATAGCCGAGGGACAAGGAACATACATCAAGTTTTAAAGATTTAATTAAATTTTTTTCTTATTTTGATCAGGTTTGGTCATCCATTTGAGTTTCCATTACTAGCACAGAGTGTCATAATGTTGGCCACTATGCTAGTGATGCTACAGTTATGTACAAAAGTTAAAGCAATACAAGAAATATCAACAAGGAAGAGGAAGTTCAGTGGTGAGTAGATTGCAATCAAACTTACATTAGCAACTACTTTTCCCTGAGGCAGGCACACTCTGTGTTGACTGAGCGTGATTCCACAGTGGCGATGCGCGTCCGACAGATCATTTTAATGATAATCCAATCAGACTGGCTCTGAAAGTCATCAGGGGCATCGCATCATTAAGCGCTGACACAAAGACCAGAGATGGAATCATGGGAAGAACATTGGTGAATGCATTGTGTGCCCGCTTTAGAATCCTGGATGTACAAGTATAAAGAGTAGATCAATCAATTGATGAATCTGTAAAACCAATAATTACTGGTAGTTGATGCACATTGATGATTTTCTTCTTTGATATCTGACTGCTAGGTTGACCGTATGTACCAGGGGTGTATTTAGGGGGTGCCTCCTTTTGGAAAGTTAAAAAAAAAAATAGAAAAAAAATAAGAAAAAATGGATTGCCTGAAGCACCTCAGAGGTTATTTTAATGTAGTGTTGTCTCGATCAGCCCCATTTTTAGCCCCATTTTTGGCCCCCCTCCCCTTTTGGATATCTCTGGATCCACCCCATTGTACCGGTCTCTTCTTTTATTACTTGTTCTTGTTGATTTATTTGCCCCTTTTTTTAGACAAAATCTGTGATATCGCACAGTCTTACGGAATTTATACCAGCAGGGTTTTCTGTTTCAGGAAGGTATACCGTATAACATGCCACCACAAACCCTAGTAATGTTACGACAATATTTGATACATACGATATACACTGTACTCTTTATTGTCGAAATAAACTTTTGTTCCATTTATGATATGTTTTTCATTGCATACTTGAGTTAAAACAATGACATAAATATCAAAGAAACCATCTTAATTGGTTCTGACTTGTTCTAGACATTTTCCCACTATATTTCCCCTTGTGTACAGTAGTCATGCATGTTAAATTATAACATGATACTCAACTCTGCATTCATGGCAGTTTATTATGATAATTATAGTCCCGTATAGAAATATGTGTTTAACACATTGGCTCCCAGTGCCAGCAATGAGTATACTCGTCCCACGTGGTCTTGCTGAGGGCGCCAGAGATGACTATACTCGTCAAAATCAGGGTAACATGCTAGCGTTTATTACTTCCTTGGTATACATCGTAGAACCACAGACTTATCGAGTGGTAGTTTGGGGAAGATATCCCTAGACAATTACATGTAAATGACGTATGTATGTCTGTTGTGTCGAGCGGCACAATTGGGGGTGCCCATTTAACATATACCAACCCATGCAAAAAGTGGATGAGAAAACTTGCATTTGGCGTAGTCATTAAATAGTGCTGTCACAATATTTTCCTGCCAATTTATTAGACACATCATTTTGATGATATATGACTAGATAAAATTTCAAAAAAGTATGTTTGTACATGTAAACTTGTTTTGGCACACAGGAACGAACCTTAAAAAAGGTCTGGCAGTCAACGTGTTAAAACTGATGAAGAAAAACCAATGATAAAAAAAAATAGTTTCTCTGACATATATTTGTGACTTTTCCATATATGGGCATGATGATGTCTTGTCACACCCATAGTATGATAATTACATGTACTGTATTTGTCACATAAAGCATGTTAGTGTGGACAAAGGTTAAAAGACTACATTGTAGAGGGCTAGCAATTTTGGTAGAATTTCAACTTAACTTCATCATTCAATTCCTGTGGTTTTACTTTTGAAATTGATTTTCTTTGCCGTCTTTATCTTATTTTATTCATCATTTCTTTTCTGTTTTGTGTTAATCTTTTTTGATTTCTTAAATATAGCTTGCATGCTGATTACATTCATTTTTTTTTCTTGGGGGGGTGGGGTGGGTGAGGGATTATATGGCCTAACCTGTTTAACCTGTTGTATGTATCTATTATCTTTACTGTATGTCGTATGCTGTTATGGGCAACATTGTTGCCGTTGGAATAAAATAAAATTTTAAACAAAATTTAAAGATATTGGAAATTTTGTGGAAGCTTGTGAGAACACATCAAAAAGCAAATCTTGATTATAAAGTGATGTCACTGATAATGTTTTTGCTAAGCTCTATTAGGGGTCATCCATTTTCTTCACCAATTTTAAGTAAATACAAAACATACTATTTTCTGTACATCCTCTCCCTTCCCCCCCCCCCAAAAAAAACAATCATATAAAATGATATTTTGTTTGTTTTCCTGATTGTCTCATTTTCATAGAAGAATACATAAAATGTTGTCCCTCTTTTCCCCAACATGTGTTTTTACTCATGTGAAAATGATAAAAAGAATGGATAACCTTTTAGGGTAGATAAATGGTAGTTGTATAAACTCTAGAATATAATTCAGCTGTTAATAATCAATTTTTCAAGGGACCATCTTCTCCTAGTGCTTATTCTGAAGCATAAAATGTTTTTAACAGCCAACATACAGTATATAGACAGAAAGCTGTCTGTATTGAGATGCTTGATTACATGTTGCAATACAATATTGTTCTTGTTAAGTTTTGGTTAGTATATTGATATTAATTGTATTATTATTGTTGCTGTTTTATCACAATACACAATATTATCACCAAATTATTGTTATTATCAGATATATTTATTATTATTATTATTATTATTGTTTTATTATTATTAATATTACTGCTGTTATTACCATATTAAATCATCAGTGAGTATATGATTATTATTGTCTTATTACAGTACTGTATTCCTATAAAGTTAAAATCCAATTGGGCTATATTTAGTTGGGTAGAGGTTTCTTTATTATTCTTTTTCTTATTATTATAAATATTATTATTTTTATTATTATTATAATTCTTATTACTAGCTGTGGTGTTGGAGTAGTTGGCTATCTGCTTGCCTCCTCAACTTGATAACTTTCCCTTTGTACTACAGATTCTCATGACGATCCTTTAAAGACTTCCTCCTCTTCTTGCAAGCTTGTAAAACCTTTTAAAAGGAAAGCTTTTACTGGTAGGTACTGCACTCAGTTCTGACTACCGTCAGCCTCGTCAGTAGATCCCAAAATGCATTGCTTGCTTGCTATTCTATTTTGTTGCTAAACTATATGGGCGTTCAATCTGCTGAGGTTTATTTTGTCTTAATTTAAAGGGATTTACATGTGTTGTTGACATACTTAATATTTTGTTGCATTTTACAAGCCCTTAATAATGCCTGTTAATTGTGTGGTTGCCTATTAGAAATTGGAAACTTGTGTTTACTATTCTAGGCCTAGATTTAAGGATACTAGAAGAGCTCAATCATGAGTTTTTTCATCTATGTTCCTGGTCAGTTCCATCATTTCTCTCCTTGTATTTCAGCTGGAGGGCTGACATGCAAGTACAGAATAATTAGCACTCAGTCTGTAGGTCCTGTGAGGTGTTATATAATTACAGTATATTATATCACCAAACCATGTTGTGTAAACCATTGTAAAACATAGAAAATAGAGTACTGTTTTGTGTTAGATCAAAAATCTGTTTTCATATTTCATTCCCATTGATACTGTAAAAAAGTTTGCTTATAGAAAGTGTCACTTAAAATGTCCTGCTGGTTGCTGGTTGTTGAAGTTGTAGTTAGCTTGTTGATTTTTGTTTACGTCATCAATGTGATTCACATAGCGTAGATCAGGGGTGGGCATAAAAATCCAAAGTGAATTTTTTATTTGACATTGACGGCGCGCACCAAATTTTGATGGTTCCCGTCTGCTTCCAGTAACCTTCATGCACTGCTTTTATACCACTTTATTCTGAGTTCAATTATTACTTTTTACAGATGATTGGTGTTGGGCGGTAAACAACAAGGTGTTTTCTAGCCAAAGGTGGTTGGCGGACTGCACGCATAGGGTTTTTAATTAATCTTAGCGGACGGCAAAAAATCACTATTGGGCCTGCACTTTGCCCACCTGCGGCATAGATTAGCATACTCTGAGCACACTCTGAGCTTTTAATCTCTCTTCACACTATAAAGTTTTATGTGACAAATGTGTTTGATTTGCCCATATACTGTATGGCCATGATGATGTCTTTTTGGCCAAATAGAAAAAAAAAGCATGTTTCTCTGCCCCTGTTGCATTTTTTTTCCCCACAGCCTTTTCTCTTTTTTATTTATGATAAGCAAAACTCCCAAAAAATTCAGCAAAAATATTCATAAGCAGTGGGTATCAATTGGTATACAATGGTGCGTGTATTGTAGCAATTCTAACAAATAGGAGCGTCGATGTTCAGTGAATGATGTCAAAGTTTAAAAGTAATTATAATTGCAAGAGTGCGCCCTACACTGCGGTATTACAGAATTTGCACGCAGAGATCGCGGATCACGTTACCTTGTTATTATAAGATCTTTGTTACTGAAGTTTAATCTGACTAGGATATGAATGATTGATTTAATGCTTAACTGTATGCATTATAGATGTTGTTTGTATTAGCATAAGAATTGTCTATTCTTTTATAACTGATATCAATATTACTGATTTCTGTTTGTAGAATAATTGCATTTGATAAACTTAAAGTTTACATTCTTTCTCCTTTGCCAATAATACTGGTTGCTGGCATACTGACAAACTTAAATTTTGTTTTTTATCCCTTGTTATTAATTTGCAAGTAGATTTGCATCAAATTTTGATTTTAATTTACTAAATGACAAAGCAGCTTCTGAAGTCTGATGGCCCTTAATATTTGTATGTATGTATGTATGTATGTATGTATGTCTAGAAATCTTTAAATGGGGGTGCTGATGGGAGGGGCACGAAGGTGTGGTGTGTGGGGGGGGGCTCGATGATGAGTTGAGGGGCGCTAATTTGCAAAATAAGGTGATTTTTAACTACTTGACCATGATTTTAGGGGGCCCACTGGGGGGACACGAGTAATTTTTGGAGGGGTGCGCACCTCTAGATACGCCACTGTGTGTGTGATAAACGTGTAACATCTGATCTTTCCATGATTCATTGGCTAGCGATGTAGTGCGTATACTCTGTCCACACTATCAAATTTTCTTTGACATAAACATTGTTGTATGCCCATATATAGTCACACTGTGCCTATATATGACCATATTTAGGCATGTCACATGTTTTTGTCAACTAAAATTTGATAGTGTGGACATTGCTTTAAATTTAAACCAAGTCAAGGTAAACTTATATTCATCCATCTACACTTGTTAAAAATGTAATTATCCTGACCATTCCATCCTTGATTGACTGATGAATCTTTTGCCTTTAATTTATTTCCTATTTTAAGTTTCTAAAAATTGTTTCTCGTTGTTTTTAACTTGTAGATTTTGATGCAAGGTATTTTTGGCAGTGGAGTCGCTTTATAGATTATCTACTATTCCTGTCTCTATTCGCTGTTACCAGTGCTGTAATAAACTACTTATTAATTAGCTTTGTTGTGTATGTTGAGATGATAGGATTCCTGGCTGTGTTTACCGAAGCAATGCTCGGTTCCCCTCAGTTCTACAGAAACTTCCAAAATAAATCAACACAGGGAATGAGGTAAGCATCTTTTATTCAAATATTTTGAAATGCAACATCATCATAGCGCCACTGAACATTGTATTCTGCTGTGGATATTGGCATTTAAAGCAACGTTGATTAAAAAACAACAGTGTTGAGAATATACCAAATTTAGGGTCATAATTTTGAACTACAAAAATCTAGTATAAATACAATTTATAATCTCAACAGCTGCATCCACCATTACGTTTAATTTTCTACTAAAGCAAATGTTAAAGGAGTGTTCAATAATTCAATAAATCAAACACAACCATATTTATTTAATTGCCAGCAGATATGGTACTGAAATTAACCTTAACTTCTATACTGTAAAGCTTCAAATAGAAGCCCTGAATTTTCTTTTTTTTTGTTTTTTTTTGTGACCTTTGGATGGACTTCTTTTCGAGATAGGATTCTTTTTGAGGCTACTTTTGCAAAGTAACTAGGGGGCTTTTTTTCAATAATGAATGCTGTAAATTTTTAGAATTATTACTTTATAACAATAAACAGGGCCACTGTAACATCAGTTTGTATCATGGAGTGTATTAACTGGCATTAAATCAACTAAAGCTACTGTATAAATCAAGCATATTTTTAATTATTTTGTTTGTTTAAAATTCATGTACAGTGTATGTACTGTACTATCTCAAAAAGAAGCCTATGCTATTTTAAAAAGAAGTCCATGAGCTTCACTTTTTGAGATAGGCCTCTTTTCGAGGCTATTTTTGCAATTAAGAGAAGGCTTCAATTCGAGATGAGCTTCTTTTTGAGATTTTATGGTAGTTTGTTACAATTCATAAAAATAGTACTTCTTAATAAGTGCCAGTTTGTGTATCATTGTTATTATCTAATAAGATTATTATCATTTCTTGTACTGAAAGTGATCTAAATTTAAACTCTCAGCTGTAACTTGCCAGTTTTTTTAGCCTCTCTGTTTCAATTACAATTTTTTACTTAAAGGACTTCGTTACAGTGTTTATCATTATATACTTTAATAGTTCTCTGAAGTTAAACTTCATTTATGTTTTTCATAGTGTGCAGATGGTATGTTGCTGGTTATCTGGGGATATGTTTAAAACCGGCTATTTTATTGTCAACGAAGCTCCGATGCAGTTCTGGGTGTGTGGAGTACTCCAAGTATCCATTGATATAGCTATCCTCCTCCAAGTCTACTGCTATCGTGGCCAACAACCAAGGCGGTCCAAAGTTGCACCAACACCCTCGTCTGATCATATTTCATAGTATAGTGCAAACTGAAATTATTGGGTACATTAATTTGTGGTAAAAAAGAACATTTTGAAAGATATTCTTCCTGTTTTTCTTTATATCAACAGATATTTATTTTGGATATAGGGGTGTATTTTAAAACTAATAACTCCTAACAATGCAAGTAGTGTATACAGTATACTGTAACAAAAATTTTACTGCAGCCAGGTAGTTTTTAAAAATATTTATGCTCATTATTAGTTAGTTTGGAGGAATTGCTTTCTAGGGATTTGATTTAATGAGCTTTCTTATCACATTTTATTGTATTTTGCTGCGTGTGATGATGTCCATGGTCAGCTAACAAAGGGAGGCAATAATAAAGTAGAAAAAATATGCAAACATTCTGAAGTTGCTGGAAATGTGTTAGTTTTTGGTAGATTTTTGCTTGATCCTTGGAGTGTGGGAGAACCTTTCTAAGAGACTCCAAATTTGAGGCTGGCCGTCCCAAAACCAGTGTACTGTTACTATATTATGTTAAATAGTGTAATTAGCATGATAATGTGCCAAGACCACTTTTGAAACCGGGATTTCCATGGTTTTAGCAGCTTGGTCTCTAATAAGAATAATAAAGATAAGACATTAGCTAATAAGTATGGGACCACAGAAAAGTGTACTTTAGTACAGTGGCGAAGCGAACGGGACAGGTCAAGCCTGACAGAGCTCGTCGGCAGTCAGACTAAAAAAATATATAAAAATAGGCCCACGCCAAGCCAACACATGTCTGTCACAATCAGAGAGTGTCATTTCTGGCCACCCAGATGTTCCTACCGTATTCTTCAAAAAATCTTATTTGGGAGGGGGAAGACCCTCTCAAACCCTTCCCCCAGCTCGGGCCTACGAGCCCAAGTACCCCCTGTTAGACAGCTCAGCCCCCCCAGAAAATATATCCTAGAGCCGTCACTGCTTTAGTACAGAGAAGTAATAGATAACTCATGACCTATCATTTTCAGTGGGGGATCCAGGAATTGAAATAGAGGGCACCCAGTGAAGGACTTTCACAGATGGAGGGTATATGCTACTCCAGCCCCACGATGTGATTATGGTGTCTCTAGACGGTTGGAAATGGCATTCTTAGCATCAAAATTTGTGTAGAATTTTCTATTATTTTCTATTTTTCTCAACATTTTTTTTATTATTTTGAAAAATTTAGAGGGGCCCCGGGCCGGCTTCTCCCTCCCACTGAATCCGCCACTGATTTTAAAGCTCATTATGTGGAGAATGAGAATATATTAAAAAGTCAATATTCATTTTTGGTGACTGATGCTGGATTTGGGATGGCAAACCTCAATTGTTTTTATTGTATTTGTTGATAAATATGTATCTCATATGAATAGATACATTTATTTCAATTAATATTGTATTCATATTATAATGTGTGTATTGATAATGTTTTAATTTAATGTGGAAATATAAATATATATTTAGTGATAAGACATTTTAGAAGTAAAATAAATTATTGATTAGAAGAATGTACAGTAAGCACTGACAACAATTAATAATAATATTGAATAACTAATGCTTATAATATGTGGCAAAGACTAGCCAAACCAGTCACTCGTCGCAAATCATGTTTCAGAGAAAATGGCCAAAACATGCTGGAATGTCAAATTTTTAAAAATCTATTTTATTGCACTAAACTAACCTTTATGTATCTACACATCATTCTATGCTGTTATTTTCCCCATTTTCAATGTTAAAACAACACTTTTTAAGGATTTAAAGATAGTTTCTGCATGAGAAATGCCTGAAATCATAAACTTTGACGGTTAATTTTTCATATATTGTTCTTTAAACAGCTGTGTGGTTAAACGCTTGTAACTTCATGAGGAAATGTCGGATTTGAATGATTTTTTTACCATTTTATAGCTATTATTTTACTCTCTAAGCCTGTATTAATAACTCAAAATTGATTTTTGCGACGAGTGACTGGTTTGGCTTGTCTTTGCCACATATGATGATATTGTTATTATTATTAATTTATAATTATTATTACTAATACAATGTGTATGTATTAACTGTAATCAGTGTTCAGTGCAAATGAATTAAGCTGAAGAGTTTCCACTAAGTGTGTTTATACTTACTTTTTATGATCTGAATCAATAACGAACATTCCATTAAAATTGAGATGAAAGTCTGCCTAAACATATGCTTTATAGGTGAGCTAACAAACATGTAAAAAAAAAACCAGATGCTTAAATAATACCATTCGAATAAACTTTAATTGAACTTTATTTCCTTAGTGAGAAGTCTGTAAATTAAAAAATAAGGTTGGGGGATGTTGTTGGGGGAGGGGGAGGTGAAAATTATTTTATCTGTGCTTCATTTGGTATAATTTGAAAGACTATAATCATCCTGCTGTACTTGTTTAAGAATATAATTTGGAGCATCCATCCTGTGATTGACTGTGCAAGGTGAATAGCCTCATTTGCATATGCATGATTCCACAATTAATATGTAAATGAAATAAAACTGTCCTTGAATAACCATATACTGTCTCCTCTGAATTCATGTTTGTGGTCATCCGACATTTTAGGCATACAATATGCAATTCAGATACAAGAGTTAATAAATTTGTACCATCATACTATCATCATCCATTTCGATTTTGTTTTTTTTATCCTGATATGTCGGTCTTGATACCATCAATATTGATGGGAGCAGCCACAATAGTTAATATGAAATACTACCACCTAGGGCTAAAACATAGTGAGAGCAGGCTGGAAGAGTGCAAGCTTGGGTAACTAAGCATGGCTGGCCGAGAATGGTCAGGGTGTGGCTTAAACCCTCGACAACGTGGTTCAGAACCTGAATGGAAATTGCTGAGCCAACCCGCCTTCCCTGATTTATCTTGCTTTTTTATTTTTTTTTTTTACGATTTCAACATTTATTTCACCATAACATAATTAATCAAATACATAATAAATTTTCCAATGAAAATAGTAAAATACATGAATGAGAAATACGAAAATTAAAGTCAAATTTGTTAAGAACAAAATAATAATTATTGGAATTATGGTTTGGATCAGGTCTAGAAGTGTCAACTTGACCCATTAAAAAAAAAAAAGAATTACTCACTAAGAAAATGATAGTAGATACACATGAACAAATCAAGGCCTAAAATAGCACAAACCATAATAACAAATGGTTATTGGTCAGAATAATTTAAAAGATACATTTTTTTAATACAATTTCTATAAAAGTTAGTAAATTATTACAATTTATTAGTTGATCATCCAACTCATTCTATAATTTAGGGCCAGTTACAGTAATAAAAAAATTAGTTTTAGTCTTGAAAATGGTACATCAGTTTTATGAGGTTCTCTTAAATTATATCAAGCCCGTAGCCAGGATTTTGGTAGGGGGGTTCTTTTTGATACTGAAAGGGCACTCGCGAGCACCATTGGCTGGGGCCAGGGGGGCTGTCAAGGGCCCCCTGGGGGTCCAGCATTCTAAGCATTTACAGGTGTTATTTAATTGATTTGAGAGGCCATACATTAAAAAAATGTATATATTAAAGAGGTAATTTTTTGAGTTGGGAAAAGATAAAAAACAAAACAAAAAAACTACTAGTTTAGGTGTACAGTAGTGGTAATTTAACAACAGTAGCATGATACAAACTCCAAAGAATCCAGTATGGTTTATTATTTATTTTTTTATTTATATAGCACTTTGGAAGTTGTATCATACTATACTCATATAAATTTTGTTGTTACTAGTATTGTTTTAATAAAGATTTATATAAAAGAATGATAAATCTTGATGTATTCCTTGTAAATTCTCATTTTATTTAACGCATGTACTGCAGATATTAGATCTGCACTTTATAGTCCTCGGCCTCTAGTGTGAGGCCCGTTCCCGAAACACTCCACCATACCAGCCGCCCCACCTCAGCACTAAGTGTTATTGGGGGCAAACTCTTAGAAAATTAAATCACAACCTATTAATGTCTAATTTGAAAGATTAATATGAAGGGGTAGTGAATTGAATAAACAGTATCTGCAATTCCCTCTGGAAGGAGCTATAATCCCCTTCAAACACACTAAATTTATTTTACTTATTTGGTATAGAATACTCAAAATACAAGAAAAGTTGAAATACTTTTGAGTTTACAATAGGAATAAATATAAATATATAAAAAAAAAAAAAAAATCAAACACCACACATAAAAAACACCAAACTATTAATTCAATTCAATCAATATATATAAATTAATTATTAAAAATCTCTATACATGAAACTTGTTGTTACTTATTAATTATTTAAATATATATGTACAATAATAGATTTAAAAAATCATTTCTAAATATCACGGGACATGATTGCTCAGAGCCTTGAATTTCTGAATAACAGAAACAGAGTAGCACTAAGCGGAAATTAGATACTTTTTTTTGTTTAATTTTTTTGCTCACCAAATTCCTAGTGGGGACAAAGTTTTTCTTGAATGTGGGGTATGTACTCCATGTTGTTACTTCAGAAATAAGACAAAAACAATGCTAAATCCTTTACAATTGCATTTATTTAAGTTTCTCAATTTTTTACTATTGGTACATTTATTTTTGTTTCCCAATTTAAATGGCAAGTATAAAAAATAAGCCTCAGTTATTAAATGCATTAAAGTCATATCTAAGCTGAGCATTGTCTTCAATTTCATTTGATGTATGAAAACATAACAAATAAAACAGTTTAATATTTATCAAAACCAGAAACCATTTTTATCAGGTACTGTACCAGACCAATATTACCCCATGCACAGTAAAAATCCACATCAAATAACTTACTACTCCACATTTTAAATTACATATTTGGTATTCAGTAAAAACAGATTTGTTTATAAAGCTTTAATACAGTTTCAGTGGGTGTGTTTCAATAAAAAAAAATTCAGCTATAGAAGTAGTATCATCAGTGGTAATCAGAGTACCAAGACAGAGACTAAAAACTGTGCCTCAAGAAATAATTTTTGGCCTGTTAACATGCGATACTTCTGTACCATTTTGATGATATCTGACTTGAAAAAATTTTTAAAAAATATTTTTCTACATGAATACTTATTTTGGCACATGGGAAAAATACTAAAAAAAATGTCTGGCAGTCAACGTGTTAACTAACTTATAGATACAGCAGGCAGAAAATATCAATTAGACAACGGAACACCTTCAAATCATGGATACGAAGACAAAAAAGACTATGTAATCTGCCAATGAGTGTATACTGTAGTTACTCGTTAATCATACCAGCATGAAGCCTTTTTCCCACCTGGGGGCGCTTTTCGGCAGCAGTACGCCAGCATGGTCTGTCTATAGGGGACTACATTCCATCCCATTCATTCTTAGCATAATAAAAATAGAATAATTGCACAGAAAGACCATTGGTATTAAGTCATTCAAAACAACTGAAAAATACAAAGATATATATAAAAACAATCACATGAAAATTCTTAATTTAAGTGCACACATATTGTGTACAAGGCTTAACAATATTAAACGAGGTAAGATTAATTTATGTATAAATAAATCATTATTAAGTCATTAATATATTTGTGCACATTAAATACCGTGCCTGATAACAATTCTCTTGTGGATATTACTGTATGTACGGCCTCTATGAATATGCCATCACGCAAAAGTACATATATGTGGCATAGACAAGCCAAACCAGTCACTCGTCACAAAAATTTTAAGTTATTAATACAGTGTTGAACAGTAAAATGAGAGCTATAAAATGGTTAAAAAATCACTTAAATCCGACATTTTCTAAAGAAGTTACAAGCATTTAAACATACAGCTGTTTAAAGAACAATATTTAAAAAATCAGCCTTCAAAGTTTATATTGGGCATTTATCAAGAATAAACCATCACCGAATTGTTAAAAATTGTAGTTTTAACATTGAAAATGGAGAAAATAACAGCATAGCATGATGTATAGATATATAAAGGTTAGTTTAGTGCAAAATTGATTTCAAAAATAATGACATTGCAGCATGTTTTGGTCATTATATCTGAAACACGATTTGCAACGAGTGACTGGTTTGGCTTGTCTTTGGTACAACTTAACATGACTGTCAACCTGCAGTGAGATAGCATTTAACATACAAACTGGTGTACAAACACCCTACCTCAATTAATAATAATCAAATTTCATTGGTAGTAAATATTCCATAGCTTATTCAAAATTTTACCTATTATTAACTTACAAACATTTGGTAACTGGTTCACCCTATCTGGCATTATGTGTACTGTCCAAATGCATTTTCATGAATTACCATTGCAATGCGTGTGGCCATTTGGTATAACTCCGTTCTCCTTGGTAATTTTTGTTGTATCAATCTCGGACTCTTCTTCAATAATCATCAACGGGGTGGCATCATCATCTTTATCAAAGTCTGTTTTTATGCCTTCTTCGAGTAATAGATGCTGATTGTCGTCAATTGTCTTGTTTAACTGCATTTTGGCTTGTTGGACGATGTAAAATGTAAGAATTATACTAACAAAGACCTGTATAAATAAAAATAAACTGTGTTAAAAATTGTATGACACTACAAGACTGAGTTGTAGACTGGTGGCTAACAAGGTTGCCTTCTAATCCAAGATTCCGGGTTCGACTCATGAAATTCCTGTTTACTTTAAACTGTGGCTAAAACTTGATTGCTCCACTTAAACCATAACAAGAGCACTGTGTAAACAAGCCAATTTTCTTAGATAGCTCAGCACTGGCTTGGAATTTTTTACCTTGATAAAAATATTTTTCTTGTAGCTCGGATTACAGGACAAGGAGTAGGAATGGAAACATTACAAGACTATATGTATGAAAGTTAAATATTTCATAACATACTGTATTTTAATATTTTAGAGTACAGTACCATAAGTAAGTTTGTGCTGATCTTGTGGAAATTATGGGGAAATCTTTTTTAATAGGTCATAGGTCAGTATCAGTATGTCAGCCATTGTTTGCTCATTGTTTTGAAGTGGAATACAGCTACTGTAGGTCATTTGACCATGAATTAGAGTCAATAGTGGCATTTTCATCAATGCTTCTTTAAGAATAGCTGAAATTATAAATCAACAACAAATACTGTAGATCAGGGCCAGATCAAGAGAAAAATTCTTTAGAGGTCATGGGAAGTGCAAAGCAGAGGAGGGGGGCTTTAATAGTTGAAGAGGTTGCTTAGAAATGCTTGACCACAGGCACCAGTAGAAGGAATTTTAACTGAAAATTAGCTTGTTATGAAGTACTGTACCATGCTCCCTCTTTCTCATTTCTTTTCTTTTCTCTTATACTTTTCTTTTTCGTATAAGAGACAGGGGGAGGGCCTGGCCCCTGTGACCCAACTGGATCCGCCCCTTTAGATTGAAAACTTTTGGTGAAGAGTATACTGGATCCCAAATAAGTAGTTTAACTGGTTATATGAAGTCAAGTATTATCAAAAAGTAGATTTATTGCTTGGATCAACCACTCTATCATTGGTCTTTCATATAAACATATTTTCACTACAAAAAGAAAAGGTGATGATTTACCTGTACAAATACTATACAGTAACCCATGGATGAATTATTTTGCTGTGTAAGATCATCTAAGGAACGTAGAGTGGATCCAACATAAGAATTTAGGAGCTGCGTGGGGAATAATCCTATAGAAGATGCTATAATAAATGTTAATGTAGGTACATTGGTGACCTATTGAAAGAGAAAACAAGTATAATCTTTATAAGACAACAAAACTGACGATAAACAGATTTGCACAATTAATTGTAAAGTTTTGAAATAATAGCCACTAATTAATAAAGACCTAAGTATACTTTCAAAAATCATTGGTGAATGAATGAAATTGAATAATTTCATTTTTATGTTCTGTATTTATGGTTCCACGTAATTGAAAACAAAATTCTGTAAAAAAAACTACTACCTGTATTGGTGGATTTAATTACGAGAAAATAAGCAGCCAAAAACTGGTAATTATAATTTACTGTACATTCAATTTTAAGCACAGAAACTCATGAATTTAATTAGTAACTTATAAAAATCATGGGTAGCATTGATGTATGCCTAGTCATTAGTTAGTTTTTTTATTATGTCAGCTTTGTAGATGGATGGAAATAATGGTACCAGCATTTAAAGCATACTCATTTTATATGAGTAGTATGTAGAGTAAAGAAGGCAAAACAATGCTGTGAGTTAAATAATGAAAGGTTAAATAACAAAATACAGTTTCATGGAACGTTCAATTGCTACTACTATGACAACACAATAAAATAATCATTAACATTTTTAAATGAGTCGTATATTGGTGAACTTTGTACGCATAAATGTACACATAAATTAATGAATATTTACACAATGTACAATAAAAATGAGAGCAAACATCAAGTCTTATACATTATAAGGCTTGCCATCTCAAAAACCAGCGTAATGTCGTTAAATGTTAAACTGACTAATTAGCATAAGATTGTGGAAGTATTGTATATTTAGTACAGAGAAACCGTAATGCTTTTACTCATAACTTTGGCAATAAAAAGTAGATTCCAGTAAAATGACAGGTTAAAGCTAATAATGTAGAGAATATGAATATAATTAAAAAATCAATTTTCTTGCTCTGGTCACTGACTGTATTTTTGGCATGGCAAGCCCCCATACTAAAAAGAGACACATTTTGATACTCACAGCAAATAGTCCATTTTGAATCCCAAATGGAAGTGGACTCATCCGTGTCAGTGCAATGACTTTGAACCCATTTGGTCCTTCAACAACTGTCATGATCGCTTTCATATAGTCCCCTTGTATCTTAGAATGCATCCAGGTTGAGCACATCCTCCGACAAACAATAAATGCAAGAAGCGACGCCTGCATGACACAGACTGCAGTGATCCCACCCCCCAACAGAAATCCATACCTGTACCCAGCAGCTACGTTTATAAAAATATATCCCCACATCAATGGGAAGGAGACTAACGCAAACGATAGTAAAAAAAGCATATATCCTTGTGCTTCATTTCCGATCAACAAAAATCCAGTTATTTTTAACATGTACTTTTTAAATAGTAGGAAGAGCCCAAAGCAGAGTAGCGTGAGGGCAGCATATGTTACAACTCGTCTGTACGAGCATTCTTGACATATCTGGCGGCAGTGGTCGCAAACAGCAGCGGTGATTTTCTGGTTCCAGACGCACAGATATTCAAACCATCCCATGGTCTTGCTAAGTGGCCAGGCCTACAGTATGTGAAAGAGAAAGTTAACATGTTAAAATAATTCACAAACTCTGATTTCACAATAGTTTATCTCAATTTGCTTACACAAATTTAAAGAAAGATGATATCAATTAGATAGGCAATTTCACTAATCTTACCAACTTAAATTGTGATTTATCATATCTTTTACCAGCATGATATTTAGCACAATATGGGTTTAAGTGATAATAAATGATATACCTTATCTTCATAATGTATTCCAAGGCTATTGTTAATCATGAAACTGTGTTAAGTTGGTAAAAACTCAAAGGTCAAAGTACAATGGACACTGTTGACATTACCATAGTTCTTCAAGTACAATCCCACCACCATGAACTTGACAATGACATTCAGACAATTTCATCTTTAGGAATGGCCAATCACAGGCAAAATTTTCAAAACTGCTTGCCTAATTTAAAGACAACTTTTTTTTCCTGAATTTTTAAATGTCAGCTGAGCTAAGCAACAATACCATGGGCTTTTGCGCTGGTATTTGAAGAGGTGGGGTTATACTCAAGGTAGGCCCTACTATTTATTTATTAACACACTCCTGATTTTATAATCTATTTCCTTTAAAAAAAAAATTTCCTATTGTATATTTATATTCATGATATTTGATAACAGAATCTATCCATTTTTAATATTATTTTTGCTTTGTTTTTTCTTTACTAAGTTAACTTGCTTTTAGTTTACTGTAAACTTTTTATGTCATTTATACATATTTGATAATCATTTTTATGTTATCATTAATCATACTAAACCAATTTGGAAATTAATGCATCAGCACTTCAATATATCAAAGATGAATACTAGTAAATATAATATCTGCAGTTGGAAAGTGTTATAATTATTTTTGTCATATTTTGATGACAGTAAAAATAATAATATACAGTCATCATAAATAATAAACTTACAGTACATTAAATTATTATGGTTATTCGAATATCAGAAAATATATTACACAACCAGGAGCTGCCAAAATACATAAAACTACCACAAAACAGTCACTTGTCTGTGGGCTATGTAGCTAGTAATAATTATCAGTTTGGGCTTCTCTATGCATATACTATAGATGGGGTCATCTTTTACCTTTATATTTACCTTAAAAATGTTAAAACTAACTTACTTAGGATTACGTAGGCCTACGTACGACTATTTCTTGAATTTTATGTCAGGTAAGGTCTAGAACACCGTAAGGCTTCTCTTACTAGCCTATGCTAAGGCCTAGTGTAGTAACTTAGCTAGGTATTAATAGAGGACCTGAGATAGTAGGCCTAGGCCTACCCCTGTCTGCAGTGTAGGCCTAGGCTAGGCCCTAGCCTTAGGCCCTCGCTAGACCTTGGATTTACTTACGATTAAGTCGTCTAATTAATCACAATGAATTCCTCATCATACATCATCGCCACACGTACTTCTTCGCCATCGACATTGCCTAATAACAATTGTTCTAGGTTTCTTTTCTTTTAATTTAGTCCGGACGTAGTAATATGACTCATGAGCAGGCGAATGTAGGAGCCAGTGCGTGGACGATAAATGAATGTGTATGATGATTGACGGCTCGACCAAGCCTGACACGGACACGGTCGACGTCGCGCTGTCTCGGCTCTGACTTCTCTGCGAGTCGAGTCATCAACATCTATGCACAATCCATCAGAGCCGTAGAGAGAGTTTGGCCAACTCGGTTTCAATCACGTGACTTACACCGGCCATGTTGTCACCAAAACAAACAACGCGATAGGGTAGGAAGTTAGCAGTTATTATAGATGATTAATGCTATATAATGTGAAATACCGTTATGTTGGGTTTGGGTTGCTGCAATCGATCCAACAAAGAAACAAAAATGTATTAATTTCCTTAAATTCCAAAAAAGGAGGAGGATTTGGGATTTTATTTTAACTTCGCATGGCGATCGAAAAATCTCGCTATCCACGTAGTAAATTACAAGGCATGTACCGCCCGCCCCACTTCGCGGTAATAATATATCCACCTATTACTACTAGGCCTAAATTCTACTAAATTTCCAGAAAGCTACATGAAGTATCAGTCAAAGGTAGCTTAAATTATTATAATTAAAAATAAAAATTGAATCCTCCAATAAAAGCGAAAACTTGTCCAAGGAGTCCTGAGCTATGCAAACATGCCCAATTGTGCTTTACAAATCAATTAATTGTAGTAAATAATGAATAATAAATAATAACTCACTAATATTATAAACAGAAGTGTGGAGAATGCTGTTATTTTACTTACAAGGCCTAGCTTCTTGATTATAAATGATTAGGCATATGTTTTACAAAAATTTCTCTCAATGCAATAATTCTTCAACTTTGATTTATTGTTTAGATTACAATTTACAAATAGGCCTAGGCTATTTGTTGGTTTGAAGATGACCAGCATATTTTATTTCATAAATTAAAGTTTACGAAGCCATAGGCCTAGAGGCCTAGATACAATTAAAAAACTTTCATGTATTAATATTTTTATCATTCATTTACAGACGAAATTAACATATTATCGCCGACGATTCACAAACCTACTCTGTCTGCACAACCCACCTTTCTCCTCTGCATGTTGCCTCTTATAGGGCTATATAGAGTAGGCTGCTAGCAACTAGGTATAGGCCTAGGGTAGGCCTCCGGGCTATATGATAGACTTTCAAAACAAAAAGATAATCGTAACGAAAAAAATAAATAAAGAATCGTCCTCACTTTATCTTCTCGAAATAATACAGCACGTCACTGATTAATTAATTCCAAAGTTAGGTAAATATGATATCAGTATATGATATTTACAATGATATGTTAAAATCCCATAATTGGATTGTCCTCATGAACAGAATAATGAAAGAAAGTTTATGATGCAGCATCAGTGTTTTATAAAATGTTATAAAGCTATACGCGCGCACGCTGTTTGGTGACAACATGGCGCCCATGCGCCAAGTTGGCCAAACTCTCTCTATCTACGGGCCTGCAATCCATTTTGTAACAGCGCCACCATGCTGCAAGTTACTGTATTGTATATTGCTGTAATTGTATGAAATACTATGAATATATCAAAACCGTGATTACACGGTATGTGATAAACCTATTTTAAAAAATTCCCCCTAAATGAAGAAGTGCAATAACTCTTGTTTCATAAAGTTGGTGACAAAAAACAGACCAGTAGACCTATCTCATACACAAATGTAGTACCATCCTGTCGCACCCAGTCCAAATCAACTTTTAACTTCAGGGTCTAATTTTAATGAATGCTCAAAAAAAAAAAAAAAAAAAAAAAAATAACAAAATAAAAAAAAAAAAAAAAGTAAATAAATAAATAAAACCGAGAATACGTTATTAAAACGCAGTCTAAATATCGAAGGGCAGCATTTTAAATTTTCTATGATTGATTTGTTGTTTTTATGCCTTGGTTTTTATTGACGATTTATGGACTTTTAGTGATTGTTAATGAAATTGTAAATAGCACGCAAAATTTGGGCTTATACTAGGTCATAAAGTGTTATATAGTATTTGATGTATGTATAGATGTACGACTAGTAATGTTGTACATAAATAAGCTCACTTGATTAAGAGTGTTTTCTTTTAGTTACATTGTACAAACAAAGTTGTATGCTTGTTTTGAATATATTTCGATTTGTAGTATCGCTGTGAGCCCGCTGTTGGTTTATTTTAATAGAGGCACAGGCTGAGATAATATAATCGAACTGTGCTGATGTACTGTCTATAATAAGTTTTTTCTTTTACATTCACTGCATTGAAATTAGCACTAATTAGTGCTACTCCCCCCCCCCCCCCCCCCCCGCCCTCCGTCGCGGAGAAAAAGCACAATGAACCCGCCCTTGACATAGGCCCTTAAATTGCCTGGTAATGTAATGTAATTCGATTTATACACACCTAGCTATGCACTCTATTTTCCGACAGGGGCGGTCCAATATGCCCAGAAGGGGGGAGGGGGAGGGGAACCAAGGGCCGACTAGAGCAAAAAAGGGTTCACTTCACGGCAGTGGCGTACGCCTATGAATGCGCTCTCCGCGCCTCCCACCTGCCCTCCCTTAGGGTCTTCGCTCTAGCACCCCGATGCAAAAGAGCTTTGTTGATACATAACAGCATATTGTGTCTTTGACATTAGACTGTAGGACATAAATAGGATCATAATATCCAGCGGATTAAGTGAGTGCCATTTCCGAAACTCTAGATGAGCCCTTGCTTTACGCCGCTGCTTCACAGGGGAGGGTTTTTATATGGCTTAGTATTGTCCAAATGCCCCCCCCCCCCCCCCCCAAGTAATAACTGGGTCCTTAAAATAAACTATGGGTAATTAAGCTTGTAATTGGGATCCGCTTCACAGAGCGGATCACCTCTTGTTATTGTCAGAGATCTTTTTTTTTTATACTCTACATTTCTCCACATTTCTTGTTCACACGATATCTCAAAATTGGCTTGGCCTGGTCACAATAAGCTTTGCAATGTGACCAGTCATGTGTGACGTCATTAGGCGCAATTTTACGTTTTTACAATACCGATCTCATCCTACCAATTGCCATTTTGAAATCATATTCAGTGAGCAAAAACTTCAGGTCAAAAGTAAAATGTCATGTACAGTACCTGATTTTGTTATTTTGATATGTATAGTAAGATACCAAGAGATTGCAGGTTCAATCCTCAACAGGGATTATAGGCCTATAAGGAACTTTCGTTGATGATCTATGATACGATTTTTAACATTTTCCTATATATCTGAGCACTGTATTATCTACTTTGAGTTATACATTATTTGCATTCCCAGTCTTAAGCAGAAACTTTGTACCGTATATGTATGTTGAGGGGAGCAAAAAAACGTACACAACTTTCTAGCATTAATAGTCCTCATCATTATGAGCACACACACCATAAGCTTTGCAAAGCACTTTTTTAAAGATATATAGAAGGGGTAGTATTTCTACAGCAGATTGAGTGTCGGCAAATAAACATTTATGACACACATTCAAAGGCTCTGGTTCTCTAAGGTCTGTCTCTTATACACATCTAGATGTGTATAAGAGACAGGAATGCGCCCTCCGCGCCTCCCACCTGCCCTCCCTTAGGGTCTTCGCTCTAGCACCCCGATGCAAAAGAGCTTTGTTGATACATAACAGCATATTGTATCTTTGACATTAGACTGTAGGACATAAATAGGATCATAATATCCAGCGGATTAAGTGAGTGCCATTTCCGAAACTCTAAATGAGCCCTTGCTTTACGCCGCTGATTGCAGGTTCAATCCTCAACAGGGATTATAGGCCTATAAGGAACTTTCGTTGATGATCTACGATACGATTTTTAACATTTTCCCATATATCTGAGCACTGTATTATCTACTTTGAATTATACATTATTTGAGTTCCCAGTCTTAAGCAGAAACTTTGTACCGTATATGTATGTTGAGGGGAGCAGGTGTTATTTCTTTTTTGTCTACATATGTAAAAAAAAAGATATATATAGATATCATATTATATATATA